TAATTCAGTGAGAAGAATAATTGCGCAATTTCCCGTTATTCTTTGCATAGTGAAGCGTAAAATTCCCTATTTTGTCCCGGTCTTGGGAAAAGGCAATGAGAATTATTTAAGACGAGTCGATTTACCCTGTCGTGATTGAGGGCGAAGGGCATCACTGCAAAAACCCCTTTTGTTTTCCATTCCTCATTGTTTTGTTAACCGGGGACGGTTCGCCTACTTGACGAAGAGTGGTAGATTGCAAAGGAAGCGAGGGATGTAAGAGCCACGTGTGCGGGGGCGGCAACCTCCCTGGAATGGGGTTAAGAGCCGCTCCCAACGCCGCCGCCACCCCATATATATTATATTGCATTTACGGCACAATAATCGCCAGTGATTTTTCCGGGAAGAAATTATTTTCCCTTTCGAAATAATAAATACAGCGCTACATAATTTTCATCAATTCCAAGGTTATTTCATCAAAAAGGCATTAAATGATTTGTTCAAAAATAACTACTTATTCAAAGTTTTTAATATTAACGCTTTTTCATGGTCACCTCTTATTTTATTCTATAAGCAATCTCGTTTCTATTTACTACGAAATTGAAAGACAGAAATTATTTTATTTATGTAATTTATTATGAACTTCTTCCGCTGATTAGCAACATCAAAATGACACTAAAACACTATCATTAGGTAGATTCAAGTTAATTAATTGTTTTATTAATTCTAAAGAATTGTTAGTATCAAATTTAGGTATGAAGTTAGTAGTAATATTTTTTGTTTTCGCGAGTTTGTGGGAAGGAAGAGTTGTAAAAGGCCTTATCAGTTTTTTTAAATTTTTCTTCTATCAGGATGCTCCCAAAACCTAAGAAACCAAATCACCTTCCTAGCTCCTACCCGTCAGTCTTTTGCCCATTATTGTCAAAATACTGCAAAAGCTCCTATTGATCCGGTTGTCCAAGGAAATTCCTACCGACACAATTCCACATTATCAATTCGGCTTTCGGAGTTGCCACTCAACTGTACAACAAGCACATCGCATAATCGATGTTATTCCCACAGCTCTTGAGCTAAAACTGTATTGCCCGGGTGTGTTCTTGGATAGACACCAGGCCTATACCGAGACTGGCACTCTGGGCTGTTGTGGAAGCTCAAGAACATCCTACTAGCAATACCTTATCCTAAAATCCTATCTTAACGATCGTTACTTCCAAGTATCCCACAGAAATTCATTGTCTCCTATCCATCCTATTCTAGCAGGTTTCCCACAGGGCAGCGTGCTCGCTCCTTTCCTTTATTCAATTTATACTTCCGACCTACCTACGCAACCTAACACTATCACCTTCACCTTTGCCGATGATACCGCAATCCTATCTCTTGATCCAGATACTGTCGCAACTTCCCGAATCTCCAAAATCACCTACACATCCTAGAATGCTGGCTTCGTCAGTGGAGAATCAAGATCAACAAAACCAAATCAACAAACAAAATATTTAGCCTAAACAAGAAAATGCTCCCACCAATAAACCTCAACAACGTTCCCATTCCAATTGCGCACCATGTTCGATACCTCGGGCTCCACCTGGACAAACGACTGACGTGGAACCCCATACACGGCTTAAGCGCACAGACTGTAACATACGATTTTTCATGCTTAAACGACTACTCGACAGACGACCAAAACTCTCACTAACAAACAAAACATTGCCCTACTGGACCCCATTGGACATAGGACATACGAATTTGAACTTTACGGGACTGTTCCAACCTCAATCGAATCCCTTCAATCCAAAATCCTCAGAACAATAGTCAACACCCCTTTCTATGTATCCAATCACACAATCCATACCGACCTAAATGTCTCTCGTTACAGAGCTAGACCAAACCCGCTACAAACCGTTCCATTCCAAACTACCCCATCATCCGAACCCTTTCGTCAAAAACCTGTCATCCACCACATTACCTAATAATCCCAACAGAAGACTGAAGCGTCGGTGGCCCCGCGACAACCTTAACACTTGACATCAGTCTCCTAGGACGGAGTCCATCTCGCTCATCGTATTGATGTACAAACGGCTACCATCACTGGATGGTAGCTGTTCAAGCTTTCTTGCTACTGTTATAGTTGTTTGTATGTTTTACATGTTTCACAGAAGAATGCAGTTATATTTAAAAAAAGAAAAGAAAAAAAAACTATCAGTAACTGCTGAGTTGGTTGTGCTGTTGGCCCCATATTTTTTAAAAATTTGTTTGTTACCTATACAGGAAAGAGTACTATACAAATATGTACACATGATTAATATATCACACAGCACAACACTAGCACTAATGACAGCACTGCACCGGTAGAACACATGCTTTGAGGAGCCAACCATTGCTGGCACTCAGTGTGTATGATTAGGTGTCAAAGAGGTCCGAGGCCACCGTCGGTTGAGGCGACGTGCCGGATTGCCAGGATGGGAATGAATGGAGAGGGCTCGAGCAGTATGGTTTGGATGGCTCGAAAGTTTGGTGTGGAAGGTTTGCAATCTGGACCGAATCAGTTCGTTGACAAAAGGAATGTTGAGGTCTTTATGGATAGTGCGGGTAGTGACATAATAAGATTCTTTGACAATTTGTCTAAGGACTTTCGATTGGAAGGACTGGATGCGCTGGTTATTTGATGCCATAGGCAGTCCACAGTTCCACTCCGTCCATATTGGTCTTAGTAAAGTCTTGTACAGTGTTAGCTTTGTCTTAATTGTCAAAGTCGATTTCGGGTTAAGTCTTCGTAGTAGTTCAAGTCTTGTATTAAGTTGCTGTTTTTTAAGTCTTGTGTGGGGATTCCTGATATAGTCCCAGGTATTTGACTTGAGTGGAAACTGGTATCTCTTTGTTGTTGATGTACAATGGAGGGCAAGACTGCTTTTTCAGCGTAAAAGTACACTGAGTGCATTTTTTTCGTTCAGTCTTGTCCTCTATTTTTACACCAGTCTTCGATAAGCTCAAGGTGTTCCTGGATGTTGGAGGTAGCTTGGACAGGATTCGAGTTACAGGATTGCGGTGTCGTCCTAAGGTGGTGATAATAGTGTCAGGATGTGTTGGTAGGTCAGCAGTATAAATGATATGTAGGACAGGACCAAGGATACTACCTTGCCGTATACCGGCCTGTGTCTGCTTGACGTCCGAGAATTCATTGCCGCGCCTCACTATGAAACAGCGATCAGTTAGGTAGGATTTCAATAAAAGGTAATAATGAGAGGGTAGGAAGCGCTTAAGTTTAAAAAGTATGCCTGGGTGCCAGACCCTGTCGAAAACCCCATAATAATCCAAGTTTTCGACTTCGAAGGACGAACGCAACCATGACGACCACACCCATCTCTATAGACCAAATAGTTTCCGATATAGTCTTACAAAATGTATCAATCTTTTCGGACAGCAGAAGACAAACACTTTGAGCCCTGAAGATGATCTCAATAAAGATCGAAACGGCACGATAAAGAAAATGTTTTTCTCAAACCTACATATATATTACACAGGGTGGGCGACCAGGACCCGAGGGGTTAAAAGCCTGAGTAGGCCCGTACCCCATCCAAACCTACATCACACCAGACCGCATCTCATGATTTCTGAATAATTATCGATTAATGGTCACTAATCACCACACATTTTTAATCTAGTTATATTTTTTTTTTCCCACTACCACCCCGCCATGCCTAATGGAGACCTCGTACTGGAGGAAAAAACGTCTACTTGGTATGCTAAAAATACAATTTTTGGGGAAGGTTTAATTTCTTAAGGCCTTCATTTGGTAATCCAAATAAAATAAGTATACGCGAATAAAATATCCAATACAGAAAAAGTTTCAACACCTGGTAAAGTTCCATTGTTTGGACTAGGTCTTTGTGGGTGGGGTGGACAGCTATTTGAATGATTTTTTTTCTTAATACGTCTCTTTCTCAAATTTCTGGCAGAAGTAGATGTGCTCGACGTCCTTTTGAACTCCACACTACATATACAGGGGGTCCTGTAAAAGTTTGTCTGTTTTAGTAATCGGGAAGGATCAATTTTGCTTGAGTTTGGTCTCAAACCGATGGGAGTATTCAAAGGTTGTCTACCTTTCTCGCCATCTTTCATCAACCCATTTGACCAGAAACCATTTGCTTTCACCGAAGGCTGGCTAGCCATTCTATTTCTCAGCTTCCAGGCACCTCAGGCTTCGGACATCAATTTTTCTCATTGCAGAGCCTTTTAAGGAGGAGCGGTTGCCAAAATGTCGTTTTGTACGCTGTCGTCCTCAGCAACTTGAAGTTAAACCTAAAAGTTAATAGTAAAATTTGTGTAACTTTAAATTTTGAATTGTGTTATTTAGAATGTATAAAAATAGTATTTCTTCTTCTTTTTCTTCTATAACTAAATTAATTTCATTTGTGTTGTTTGCATGTTTCTATCTGTGAATATATTTAATAATGTATCGTCTGCTTTACTGCAAAAAAATGTATCTAGCTGTATTAAATCTTTTACATGACATTTTATTCAATTTTCTATTTATTTATAATTAATATATATTTAAATTGGTTACATTTGCGAGGTTTGCATAATAGAATATATTAAATCATAAAACTGCTTTTGATTTATATTTGTTAGAATTATATAATCAATAAATTCGTTCCGTTAAAGAGATTAAAACAAAATACGAGGCTAGTTAAGATCTCCATCAAATTTTTCACTCTTTTTCTTTAAGATTGATAACACTGCAAACTCTTTAGGATGAAGTGCCTTTGATTTATCGGTAAACAATTATCATTCTATAAATAGTTCGATCAACATAGCGTATTTTACACGGAAATCATGGAAAATTAATATATTTAGTGTAATATTAATTTTTTAAAAAGAAGAATAATAATGTACTATGATTGCAGTATGATTTGGAAACGTACAGTTTTTAAATTTGTAAATATTATTAGTACGTTAAGTATACATGTATTTTTTTAGAAAGAATTGTCAACTACGTTTAAGCCTTGCGATAACATCAAGAGATTATTGGTAATTGATCGATGCTGATCAATTTCGCAAGAACTGTCAATTAATTAGTATAAATATGAATTGATAAAACGTTCGAAACAGAAAAGAGCAATGGCAAGGCTGTAAGTATGATATTACACTAAAGAAATTATTTGTAAATTTCATAAGCATATTTTCAGTATCATCGTCTGTCTTTTCGCGGTGTTGGCGTCCTCCACCGCGAGCATATTGGGCGGGCGTTTACCCATCGTCCCCGGCGAATGTCTGGAGGGCGCCGATTTACCTATTTTCACTCCTGAGTGGGTAAGTCGAGGATTTTTTTTTCCTGGTAGAAAATAGTTTTTGTAAAAACATCTTTATTCAGTTTTTCACCGGCCGTTGGTACGAGTACGCCAGTTTCGGTAACTACATCTTCCAAGCCGACGGAATCTGCAGGACCATGGAGTCAGAGGTCAGAGACGACGTGTTAGACGTCCTGTACTACCAGTATCAACCAGTGTACGTCAAATATGCTTGAAATTATGATAATGCCGATTTGAACCGACTTTAATTTTCAGATTGAAGAAGTACACCTCGTTGAGAAGTAGTACAAATGTGACAGCTATCGTTGGTTCATCCGTCGTACTCCAATACGAGCTTTTAATCGGTACGGGTTTGTGTTTTCTGGACAGGGTTTTTCAATATTAAACAAAATGTGTGTTTTAGGTTTGATCGAAGTGAAAGTCCCTCTAACTGTCATAGCGACTGATTACGATAACTACGCCGTACTCTACTCCTGCAAGGCCACCCCTGGTCTTAAATCAGGTTCGTTTTTTTTAAAAATTAAATTTTAACGCCGTAATTAATTTAATATTTGTAGAATCGGCTTGGTTGTTGACTCGTCGTCGTGGGGACAGCACCTTCCTCGATGAATTTGCAGACGCTGTCACTTCCGCAGGTTTAGACTACAGCGACTTCACTTTGGTCAAATCCACTGGATGCGACCCCAAGGAGCCTAGACTGTAAATGGTTAAACAAATTTTAAATTCAGCAGTGTACTTTTAGAACATGTACAGTACTTGTAAAGTAAAATTTTTGTATGTTTTGTAGCTTTTTTATATGTAGATATTTCAAAATAATATCAGAAAAAATTGAACTTTGTAAAAACAATAAAACAGTTTATTTAAAATATAATTGAAGATAAAAATCACGACTAGGTCCATATACAAGCAGGAATTTAATATAGATTTCAAATCAAAAGAATGAACAAAATTCTTTTAAAACGATTATTCTTTTCTTGCCAAATTGAATAAATTTAAGAATAACTAAATGAAAAAACATGGTAAAAATTTTAATCAAGCCAAGAACAAGTTTATAACAAATCAAACCAATTTTGATAAAATAAAAATCAAACGATGCAATTACGTATTCTATATTTGACACCATTTGTTGCCACGGAGGAGTTAAGCCAATATTTCTTCTTTGTACATTTGCACTATTTCGATTGTTATACTCAATGCAAGGAGTAGAGATCTAAATTTGATCAAATCTATAACAATCTCTCAACACGACTCGCAAGAATGGCACAATTACGCAGAAAACAAACACTTTGAGCCCTGAAGATGATCTCAATAAAGATCAAAACGTTGGCACGATAAAGAAAATGTTTTTCTGAAACCTACGTCACATCAGACCGCATCTCACGATTTTCGAATAATCATATAATAATTAAGAAATGGCCCATAGACATTCATTGGGCACCCATTCGTATCACAAAACTATCATCGATCATTATTTTTCTATCACAGCGACATTATTTTGACATAGTTGATAAAACCGTAATACACACGATAAACGCACCAGTTTATATTAAATAGTGCTGTTTAAACATACTTTTTATTTGCTCTATTGTACGTTTTTGCATGGCAAGAGATGCCACGTGCTGATCGTAAAAAAAGAAATGAGGGACAGACGGCCGACAATCTCCGTGAACAGAATGGACTTAATCCATTAGCATATTTCTGTATCGGAGGAGTTTCGTCGTGTAAACAGGGAAGTTGTCTTTAAGTAGAAGAGGGTGACTTAATGATCAAACAAGGAAAATGTAGAAAAACTAAANCTGAGTGCATTTTTTTCGTTCAGTCTTGTCCTCTATTTTTACACCAGTCTTCGATAAGCTCAAGGTGTTCCTGGATGTTGGAGGTAGCTTGGACAGGATTCGAGTTACAGGATTGCGGTGTCGTCCTAAGGTGGTGATAATAGTGTCAGGATGTGTTGGTAGGTCAGCAGTATAAATGATATGTAGGACAGGACCAAGGATACTACCTTGCCGTATACCGGCCTGTGTCTGCTTGACGTCCGAGAATTCATTGCCGCGCCTCACTATGAAACAGCGATCAGTTAGGTAGGATTTCAATAAAAGGTAATAATGAGAGGGTAGGAAGCGCTTAAGTTTAAAAAGTATGCCTGGGTGCCAGACCCTGTCGAAAACCCCATAATAATCCAAGTTTTCGACTTCGAAGGACGAACGCAACCATGACGACCACACCCATCTCTATAGACCAAATAGTTTCCGATATAGTCTTACAAAATGTATCAATCTTTTCGGACAGAGAAATTTACATCAATATTTTGTTGTTCTGTGGTAATTTTGACCCTGTAGGCATATTTTCTACGAGAAATGCACCTCCCCCACCACATATTTTTATTTGTTTTATGTGCATCTTATGAAGGAAAATGAGAAGTACGAAGCCTTAAAACGTATGGAATCCTTTTAAAAATAATATTAATAAAATATTACATTTATATTTTTGAAAAACTGTTAAAATCATACTAAAGTTAATACATTTAGTTTTATCTTATCAATAGTTCAAAATTTTAATATTAACTAACGTAGAAGCTAGGATATTTATGAAATATGAAAAAATTAACTGAAGTTAGTTTTTTTTCAATCTGTTTTTCCAAGTGTTGATAGAACGTCAACGCCAGGAGGCATAAAAGGCATAGCCGTGTTTGTGCTGCGGGGTTCCCAGTTAATGTGCATGGCAATGGCATGTCAGGGAACGATCGTGGTGACGTCTTCATGCAGATTTTGTACGGGATCCCCGGCCCGGGTCAAAGCCGGATTACAGCACAATCGGGATCGCGTCGGAGATAAACTGAACCGCAAATGGCCCTAGTCCCCGGCAATTTCCCTCTAACAGTCGGCGGTTTGCGGCCGGCTTATTTTACGAATTGTCGAATTTCTATGGCGAATGTAAAGTGGATAAACGCTACGGAGGAGAGAAGATAGGTCATATTTTACAGTGTGGGCGGTGAATTAAGCGGTTACCTTGGAGAACCAGCTCGTTCCATATCCTTGCTTATGCTGCAAAATTACCTTAGGAGTTTGAATAGATGTCGTTAAAATTACATTAGAGGAGTTAGGGAAATTTAGTTAAAAATAAAACCTCAGATTTTTTCGGTGTATTGTAATTTTATAAGTTCAATATTTTTATGAGACTTATATAGCTATGAAGCTTGTCAGCAGGAACGCCGAAAAACTTTTTTCTTCCATGAAATTAAAATAGGTTAATTATCTATATTTAAGTTCTATCAACGTTTACTTCAAAATTCATATCAGTCAGATCCGATAATTCTGATTTTTGTTGAATTTTTTTATGATGTTGAATATTCGAAGTTACTCCTGAACTCTTCTGTGTCATAGGAACCCACACTATGAATGAGTATCTGAGACAGAAGACACAAACATCCAAGAACCTTCTAACGAATTTCGGAAGGAAAGAAGAATGTATCAAAGGAAGCAGGAAAACACTGCGGATGCCCTTGCAAGGAAAGGGACTGCTGAATCGCTGGTCCATCCTGAGCCCTTCTGTAGTATAAGAATTCACACTCAATCAGTACCTTAGACAAAATGACAAAATGAAAATGAGGAATTCACTCGAACACGAACAATCCAAGGAACTTCTATCAAGTTTTGGAAGGAAAGAAGTAATAGAATGCACTGCAGACTAAATGGGCGTTTGTAGAAGATTGGTATAATCCAACACGGCACATGCAAATTCGGCGGGGAAGCGGAGGAAATACCAATTCACCTAACTAACAAACTGTCGTAAGATATTTGCCAGCAGGAAGACGGGTTTTGGAATGTACAACAACTGTAGAAGAAATTAACCACTGCGACTATGCCTACTAATCAGGTTCCATGATGTACCGGTGTACTTTAAGCACAGAACGGGGGATAAACAGCTCTCGGAGGGCGCGGTATACCATACACCTCGATTAAAATCTATATGCACATCTATGTAGTGTTTTATACAGTGTCTCGTGAACGGATATCAATAGGTCATGAGTTTATCTTACACGTCAAATTGAATTAAAAAACCACAGGTGTCCTAAGTTCACAACAATGTTCAAAATATTTCATTTTTCAGGTTAGTTAAATTTTTCTCAATACAACCATATATTAAAATATTAATCGTATTGTACATTTGGTTGTATAAATGGACAGAGCATTAAAATTCATTCAGTTTCGTGATTGATTTAATTAGATTAATTTTATTATTGTAATCTTAAGCGGACAAAGTGCAAAATTAGTTAGAACATACACTTTAACGAGTGTCCAAATTTCAAATCAAAAGATTAAATCCATTTCAGTTAGTGGCCCGATTGACTTAACTTTTTTCAATTAATTAATCTTTATGTAAGGTATTGGTTGAGATAAAAAAGTCAGCGTCACGAGCGGGATTCGATCCCTCGACCTTCGACTAAATACGCCGATTAAGTAAAATTTTCTTGGGTCTGCTAACTGTAACATATACGATACTTTCAAATGCACTATCTTATCTAATATTAGGCTTCTGCATCTAAATTTTATTAAATTAAACAAGACACAGTTTACTGACTTGTTGCTTAAACATTTCAAAATAAAAAAAATTATGCGAGCCTGCTGGCACCTTCGCCAAAAGTTAATATCGGAATTTACTTTATTAAATGTTTTAAAGTTTTTTCATTCTAAATTGCTGGCCCCAATAATTTATAATCTAGATTTATTGTAAATTAAACAAAGAAAAAATTGTTTTATAATGGTTGTTACTAAGTAATGTAATTATTAAAAATTAGACTATTAAATGTATTTATTTTTCAATTAATTAAACTTTATGTAAGGTATTGGTTGAGGTAAAAAAGTCAGTATCACAAGCGGGATTCGAACCCACGACCTTCGGCTAAATACGTCGCTGCTCGACCACTTGTGCTATCGTGACCTCGATCCACTCGTATACCAACTCCCCATCTCAACCCAAACTTTCGAATTTTCCCTCCTTTTTGCCATTTTTAAAATGTCCTGAAATATATTTGATTTTCGGCGACAAATGAAATGGCCACGGAGAGCTTTAGTGAAGATATGCTTAATTTACATTATTAAATTCATTAGATTTCGTGGTCCGATTGGTCGTGGGTTCGAATCCCGCTCGAGACACTGGCTTTTTGTATATCAACCAATACCTAACAATTAATTCAATTAATTAATTGAAAGATGTTTTTGGTCTGTATATATTTCATTTTTTTCTGTGTCGACCTAAATTTAATTCATGTATAAATCGACCTCTCATGCCGTAAATTTACTTTAAATTTTATATTATTTCAGGTTTATAACTATTTTTGCAATAAAGTACATATCATTTTTATTATATAGTAATTACAGAAATGTTGCCTGTATTAAGGAACGTTAAACACGTGTACTTAATTTCTCAAAGGTCAATACTCCGTGCAGTTAACTGCAATAATTAAGAAAGGTACCCCCTGTAAAAGCCTATCAAGGGTTAAGGCACAGGACCAAAATAAAGGATATCATGGATGATATTCTCTTGAAGACCCATCTTCAGAGTTTGTTCCAAATGGATGGGTGTCATCCAATAATGGAAAAGGTGTTACAGAATGGATAATAGTCCTCGTCGAGTGATACGGCCAGCCCAATCAAAGATTTAATTCCGATGGACTTGCACAAACGAGAAACCCTTAAAAATGAAGTCTATTTCGTTTCTGTCACAACTAAGGACGAGTTCATAGAAATGATTCTTATGCGAGAGGAGAAGAAATATGACCACTTGAGAGCTGAAAATCCGCCAGGAAAACTCTTGTGCAAATCAGATGGGA